TTTCCATATGATCGCACGATCGCAATTGATCGCAGACGATCGCAGACGATCGCAGAAGATAGAACATGGTTCTATCTTTCTGCGATCGTCTGCGATCGTCTGCGATCACGATCGCAGGATCGCGGACGATCGCAGATGCGTGTTTCCATATGATCGCAGACGATCGCAGAACTTTTTGCGATCCGCGATCCGCGATCGTCTGCGATCATATGGAAACCAGCCTTAATAGTGTCAATAGCAATATGGAGTATTAGCACAAATTTTGTTCCCAAAGGACTTCCGTCTTTGTTTCTCGAGTAAATCTTTGACCTCTGGCACCAATTTGGCAATAGGGTCAAAGCTGAAAATGGTAGTTTCGTGGGTTTGTTTGAAAGTATTAACTCTCTAAATGTCAGGAGGTGTTTCAACAAAAACGTCTGAAACCACTTTAGCTAACGGAAGATGGCTAGTTCTCAATACAAGAGGTAGACACTACCACATGCGATTAGACAAATCTTTCCTTTTCTTCCTCTCTATTGCCTACTGCACGAGAAGCGCGGTCGGTGGCTTTCTTAAACTGTAGTTTGATCTCGAATTTTGTTCCCATTTCTCCTTCAGATCGATGAAGACGAGCCCTTGTTCTTGAGTCTTATAAACGATCTCTTCCCTGGTATTGTGCTGGACAAAGCTGGTTATCCAGAGTTAGAACAAGCAATTGCCAATCAAGTAGAAGAGGCTGGACTCATCAACCATCCATCTTGGAGGCTAAAACTTATTCAGGTAATAATCTGTGTGGCTGGGACGCCCGACGCGGCCTCGTGCTTTCTAATATCTGTTCATGAAGAATGTGATTCTGGAGTAATGGCTGCGTCCTTTGTATCCTCTCAGTAGACTTCCTGCTCGAAGAAAAGACGAGCGTTCGTAACATCAATAGGGGCGCTTTACGTTTTGTATGTGATTGTCTTTGTTGGAAGGCTAAGAAAAAGGGGCGAGCCAGTATACATGTACTGTCAATGATGGTTTTTAGATGCGACTCCTTCACAGTTGCAGGATACTCTGTCGCGGTGTTACTTGCATTGTATTCGCCCGTATTCGCATATCTTCTTGCGTTTAAATAAAGTGAAGCTATTCGTTGTAAAATTCCACCCAGCAAATGTGTGAAAATCTTCGTTAATTTGCCATATTTGAGAAGGAAAACGCTATGCTTAATTTTTCTACTGCTAATGGCAGTCTTGTCGTGCAAATTTAACGTGCCTGTGATTCTACGTCCTTTGCAGTTATTCGAGACCCAGCGAGTGCGTCACGGCATGATGGTACTGGGCCCCAGTGGGGCGGGGAAAACTGCGTGTATCCATTTGTTGATGAAGGCCATGACGGATTGTGGGACACCGCACAGAGAAATGAGAATGAACCCTAAAGCCATCACTGCTCCTCAGATGTTTGGAAGACTGGATGTTGCCACAAATGATTGGACTGACGGAATTTTCTCTACTCTCTGGAGAAAGACACTTCGTGCCAAGAAAGGTTTGTATCGATTCTGACGGCGTTCTTCACCGCCGCTGTAACTGTAAAGAATAACAACAACTGGTTGATTAAGAGCGATGTACTTACACGTAATGTTCACCACTTGGGGGTAATTAAAGTCAGAATTACAACAGCGAACAGGGAGCAGGCTCTGCTACTAACGATCAACTCGAAACATACACATACAGGCCTATCTTCTTATTAATGACTAAATGGCGACGCTATTGCAAAGAGAAGCTATTTTGGAGATGCATTTGCCAAGCGACTGAACCATAAGATATTCAGCTATGCAGATTACATTGCATTATAAAGTACGAGAAACTGGTTGGTAGAGTGTACTCCATGCATGGGTAAACTTTACAAAGGAACTGATTAGAACGATATTGGTATCGTCTAGACCAATAAGTCACAAAATTATAGCTGCATGGAAGGTTATGACAGGAGTATCCAACTGTTTTTGTTTTGTTGTTTAAGTGGTTTATGTGACTGGTTTATTTGAGTGGTTTGTTGTGCTGTTGTGCTGCTTGTACCACAATCAAACTATATAGTCGTTGAGCAAAGCTTGTCGTGTCTGTCACCAGGCGAACGAATCTGGATTGTATTGGACGGACCAGTGGATGCCATCTGGATTGAGAATCTCAACAGTGTCCTGGATGATAACAAGACCTTGACTCTGGCTAATGGCGACAGAATACCCATGTCTCCTCAATGTAAGATCATCTTTGAGCCTCACAACATTGATAACGCTTCACCAGCTACTGTGTCACGTAACGGTATGGTGTACATGAGCTCCTCTGGGCTGGATTGGAGACCTGTGCTTCAGGTGAGGATTGCGTGACTGATCATGAGTTAAGTATTTCAGTAGGCTTCCAAACAGTTGTTATTTGAGTTGTCACGCAATGGAGAAGATTTGCCTAATGACCCTAATAACAGACTGTGAAGTAGTAGGAGGAGAAAGAGGTATTTCAAATGTTCAACCAGTCTGCTTACGCCAAAACAAGTTACTGTAGGAGAATGTTACGTCATTATGTTACCCAGAAATCAAACAATAAAATGCTATGCCGGAATTTCTTTGACTGTGAAGAAATGGTAGGAGGGGTGGCTAACCGAAGTTGAAAATCATTCATTTTAAGTTGTATCTGCTGCTGTTTGGACAGTTAGATAACATAAAAGACTTGGCTCGCTATTTGAAAGACTGGCCGAAATGATTATCAATCCGTGCACACGATTTGTTTTGGTAACCCATAACCATACCCAAAAGTGAAAGAGTCACTTTATGTTGGTCTCACGCTGAGTTTTTCATAGGCATGGCTCAACAAGCGACCAGAACCTGAGGCGGAGGTCTTGAAAGGTCTGTTTGACAAATCTTTTGAAGAGGTCCTTCGCTATGTGCAAGAAAATTGTGTCTTCAAGATGGAAATTTTGGAACACAATTACATTGTGCAGGTGAGCTGTTGGTAGCTATTAGTAGGCCGTGCTGTAACAAAAATGTTCTGAATTGCTTTGATACAGTGCCGAAGTTCTTATTCCTTGAGACTTTTTCAATGCTAGCTATTGCTGGAAATTTGTTGTGCATTATTTCCAGTGGCTTACACTGAGTAGATGTGTCTTGTATTACAGAAATTAATATTTAATCTTCTCTGGGTTGGCAATTCCACGTAGAACGGAACAGCAATTTTACTACTTTACTGAAAATACGTTGCTCTACATTAAACTGCATGACTGGACTTAAAAACAAACAAACAATTAAAAGAGTTTTGTGTTTGTTTCCTAGTCTTTGTTAATTTTCCCCAAAACGTGTTAAGAAAGCGTTGGAAAACCTATCGAAGGGCACGCTCGCGTTATAAACATTGCGATAGCTATTTCTCGCTATTTAATGATAGTATGATACTTAATACTTTTATAACTTGTTGTGACCAGTTTTCTTGTGGTTTATTACTAGGCCATTTCGATTCTCGAGGGTCTGATCCCCAAGAAAGAGGACGGCTCCAATGTGTCAGCTTCTCACCTTGAAAGGCTCTACATCTTCTGTGTAATGTGGAGTGTTGGCGCGTTGTTGGAACTGGACGATCGTGCTAAGATGGAGGAATTTACAAGAGCAAATTTTGAACTTGATTTGCCTCCCATCGAGGAGGGATCGCAGGATACAATCTTTGAATTTCTTGTCAACGAAGCAGGTAGTTTGAAATTTCCGGTGTGTTTACTTACGTTCTGTTATCCGGCGTGGGACATTGGTCAGCGAGGAAACTCTGAGGGAACAAATACATGTTGCTCCGTTATAGACTGAAGCAAACCTTGCCTCCCGAAAATTAACAAAAATGTTTGTTTCAACGCATTTCTAAAACAACCTGTGGAATAAATGCCCACACTTGTCAACAAAACGGATCAATATTTGTTCCATGACATTTTTTTGTCGTTTAGCCAGGGCGTTAGAAACATCTGTGTGAAGAAAAACTATTTCAAAATTAATTGTGATGCTTGATTTTTCTATGTATAATTGTAATTTTCCATGTGTTCTTACATTGCAGGTCACTGGGAACACTGGAACAAACGGGTGGAGGAATACATCTACCCCAAGGATCACAACCCCGACTTCTTGTCCATTCTGGTCCCAAACGTGGATAATGTGCGGACAGACTACCTCATTCATGTTGTTTCCAAACAGGGAAAGGTTTGGAACGATTCTACTTTTTTGGCTTGCCGCTTTAATATGTTTCCCCCCCTTTTTTTACGCCAGGGGGTTCAAATTGTTTTGATTACTGTAGCCTGCCTAACAAGCGTTCTAATACGAGCGAAGAGCCTTTCGTTTGCTCGCAGGCTGATTGCCGAGGATTACGTTGCTGAAGTTCTGCTGCAGTTGTCATTGCAGTTGAGTCTGCAGTCAAATATATTTTGTTCAGAGATGCACTTAGACAAGTTAAAAAAGAGGAAATTGCCATGTGCGAAACAAGAGTTTTTTTCAACCAGGGAGATATTTAGTCATTTGCTGATAACTTTGATGCCAATTATACCACAAACGTGACTGTGTCGATTTTTGTCTAATAGCCTTTTCCAGTAACCGTTTTTATTTGATAATTTGTATTTGTTTCACCAGGCCGCCTTGTTAATTGGCGAGCAAGGAACAGCCAAGACTGTCATGATAAAAGGCAACATGGGTAAATATGACCCTGAGAGACATTTAAGTAAAAGCTTCAACTTCTCGTCGGCCTCCACTCCGCTGATGTTCCAAAGAACCATCGAAAGCTATGTCGATAAGCGAATGGGCAACACATACGGACCACCAGCCGGCAAGAGAATGACAGTGTTTATCGATGATGTTAACATGCCGATTATCAACGAATGGGGCGACCAGGTGTGTTCAGATTTCTTCAAGGCTATTGGATAAAGTTGCAATTTTTATTAATAAAGCTTCCTAACAAAGGCGGTAATTATCAACCTCTTGGCTAAGCCAATGAAAACTCTTCAATTGCATTATCCAATGATCCAGTGTTTAATAATCAGGTTTAGATTTTCCTTCACAATCGAGAATCAATTCGCCGAGAGGTTTTAGAAGAGGCCAACTGAATGGAGATGGCAAGCAGTTCAAAATTAGGAACGCAGCATTTTATGAATTCACCTCAGTTTTTCTCAAGGTCAACTCCATCTTACAATCAGCTCCAAATTTCTCTTCTCATGCTGGATTTTGTCATTCCTCAGGTGACAAATGAAATAGTCCGCCAGGTTATGGAGAACAAAGGTTTCTATAACTTGGAGAAGCCTGGCGACTTCACTACCCTAGCAGACATCCAGTTCTTAGCGGCCATGATTCACCCGGGAGGTGGCAGAAATGACATTCCACAAAGACTGAAAAGACAATTCAGTGTGTTCAACTGTACTCTGCCAAGTAACAACTCTATTGACAAGATCTTTGGTAAGATATTAGCTTGTGCTCCTCAATGTTGTAGGTATTGTGCGTTAAATGTCAGTGGTACAGTCACCTGGAAGATCTAATTGGTTTTGGATTGTCCTCTCATTAGGAATGGGTTTTTTTTATTTGAACATTTAGCAATATTTCTAAGTAGGCATTTACTCCAAGCTAAGAGCACAAAAAGCTCATCAAGAGAGCTTATGCCGTTTACACTCTTAAATCACGGTCGCAGCGAAAAAGGAACAGTAACAACATTAAGAACAAAAAGAAAATAATTACGAAAAACGGTTTGATTGGGAGATAAAAGACTGAACAGAAGTGGATTCTTACGGTGTCGAGTTTGATTCCAGTGTTCAAGCTGCTACTCCAACGTGTTTCTGTTTTTGGAGCTACAGTCCCGTGCATTTTTCTTTGAAACATTAGCCTTGCAGATGATAGTATCAGTATGTACAGCTTGAGAACTAATTGACTAGAGCAGCAATGGGAATGGGATTTGAGTGTAACATGTCCCACCCCAGTTCTGGTCTTCGTAGAATGTATCCTCAAATCTCTCTGCACACGACGCAGCGATTGTTTCAGTTGCATGAATGTTGCAACTATATCTCTGTTATCTAAACTGCTAGGTCAGTTTAGGGAACGTTATCACTAACAAACTGTACTGTGGTTACGAATTGTTCCCGGTTTTTGTCTAGGAACTACTCTCAAAAGAGTGGTGGAAATAACACTATATCAATCTAATGATCTGTGTTCTTTTCGTTAAGGTGTGATCGCGGCTGGTCATTTCTGCTCAGAGCGTGGTTTTTCAAGTGTTATACAAGAGCTTGCTAAGCAGCTTGTGCCATGCACTCGCAGATTGTGGCAACTGACGAAGGTAATATTCTTTACTGATCATAAAATGCAAGAGTGTGAGATTTTTCTTACTCGGTGATCATCTTTTCATCCCGTAACAAAGCAGACTCCCTGCTTTCTGTAACCGTATCATGAAATGCGGAACAAATTCGAAAACAATAGCTATTGTTAACTTTTAGTGGATCTGCCGTACAATGGCAATGTACTGAGGTTTTTTCCGTCTGTGCATTGCTTTCATGACTTGAATTAATATATTTGGCGTTTCCGTACAACGACAACAACAACAACAACAACAACAACAACAACAACAACACCTTTATTCACTCATACAGTTTTACAAGAAAATATGTGTAAATAAAGGACAGAAAAATAATGTTCATTTGAGTCTGGAGACTGAAGTAACCCGAACGTTTCCTAGTCAGTCTCCAGTTATTGTAAGGCGGGCTTCTACAGATATTGAGAGTGTGATCGTCTGGGCGAGTTTAGTCCTGAAAAGAACTGTTGTTGGTAACGGACGTTTCGACAACCTGAGCGGAAGTTATTTTCAGAGTCTAGTTAATATTTGACGCTTTCTTTCATTTTACCTTCAGATCAAAATGCTTCCCACTCCAGCCAAGTTTCACTACATCTTCAACCTCCGAGATTTGTCCAGGATTTGGCAAGGCATCCTTTACTGCATCTCCGATGTCGTATCGACTCAAGAAACATTAATGTCCTTATGGAAACACGAATGCATCCGAGTGATTTCCGACCGCTTTACGAATCAGTCCGACAAGGATTGGTTTGAGAAGACCATGAAGCGAGTCATTGGCGAGGAACTTGGTGAAGAGCTACAGGCTATGATTGAAAATATGCCATACCTTGTCGACTTCTTAAGGTATGTATTGTGTTTTAGAACATACATGTGGAACTACAGGCTAAACTACTTGAAAAATTGGAACCACTTTTCCACCGTAAACAACTCATCAATTTGACGCTAATGTACCACTTTCAACAAAAATATTAGCGAAAGAAATATAGGACATTTCGACATCGTCGGATGTCATTGTCAAGTAAATGTGTAGCTTAGTTTTTGCGTTATAAAAGGATCTACAATTATGCGCATAAGGTTTCCTAATAGTCACACGTTTTCTTGTCACTTAACGTATTTTGCCACCTTATGCGCATTATTGTGTTAAAATATTCCCTCAAGCCTAACTTATTCAATGTATCATTTCTTGAGCTTCTTTTGTTGTACTTTTGTTATATTTGTTTCTTTTGTTTTGCTATGGTTATATGTAGGAAGTAACTAAGACAGTTGATTATCTTTATCGATCTTAGTATTATTTATTCATTAGTTCTCGTTAAATATTTGTTACCGCTATTCAGAGATGCCCCAGAAGCTACAGGTGATGAACCTGAGGACGCCGATTTTGAAACTCCTAAGGTTTATGAACTGGTAAGAACACATCAATGCTCATATCAGCGTTTTTTACCGCTATCAAATTCGTCCTTGCAGCCATTTTTTTATCGCGTCGTGTACAAGTGTTGTTTGATCTGGACACTACGAGTTTTAGAAGGTACTGCCAACTAACATAACAGTAGCAACTTCAAGTTTGTTTAAATACACATAAAAGGAAACACTGACGTTTGAGGCCCCCCAAAAGGCCATTTGAACCACTGGGAAAAAAGAACGTTAAAGAAGAAGAAGAATTTTGTCCAAACTTTTTTTATAAATATTAACTAAACCATTTTGGACACTGTTGGAGTTTGCATATCAAACAGTGCAAGAGTGTTAAAACTCAAGTTGCGGAGTTCCCACACATGATACTGTTTTTTTTTTTACTCTGTATATTCTTGTTAAACCTTGCACAGAAGCGTTCTCGTTTTGTCAAATTTAACTCTCTTGTGTTTTCAATTTTTTTTTAAGATCCCATCGTTTGAAGGTCTTGAAGAAAGACTCAAGATGTACCTGGAGCAGTATAACGAGAGCATCAGAGGCGCTGGTATGGACCTGGTGTTCTTCAGAGACGCTATGATTCATCTTATGAGGGTGAGAGACATCACTTGCTTTTAAACAGAAACAAACATCACACCGTTGGCTCACCCGAAGGTTTTGAAAAATTACATCATCATTTCGTTGCAATCATAAAAGTTAGTGGAGTATTAATTTTTGTGTAAGTCAATGAAAAATCAAGGTGTTTTCTTTTAGATTTCGTGAATGTAAACGAGCTTTAGCAGTTTTCCGAAACTTTCAGACATCGCAGTTTTTCACATCAGTTTCATTGGCCATCTAATTTATATCGGTTAGGTTTGATCAGTTTTATCGCCCTTTTCTGTTCAGGCTTTGAATAGCCTCAGCATTTTTAAAGCCTTATAACTGTACCAAATGTAAAGGAATATGCAATCATGTGAACACTAGAAGACTTCAAAACTCAAACGTTTAAAATTAATGTAGGCCAGTGAAAAGTTAGGGACTTCCCCCTTTCTTGACGAGCGAAAACAGGTTTAGCATTCTGTGTTTTTCTTAGGTGTCCCGTATTATTCGTACTCCACGCGGTAACGCTCTCCTCGTAGGAGTAGGAGGCTCGGGAAAACAGAGCTTGACTCGTTTGGCTTCTTTCATCGCTGGCTACAGGACATTCCAGATTACCCTTACAAGGTGAATTAATACTCCTGACTATTGTTTGTCGTTAATGGAGGAAGCCCAGCAAGCCTCTGATCCCGTCGTACATTATAAAACTTTAGAAAGTTATCATTGTGTGTTGTAGTTTGTCGGGACTTAGTGAATACGCCCGTGAGTCAATTATTGAGTCAATGTAACCATTGTTTATCCCTTGTTTTGTCAGGAAGTTTGTAAGCAAGTCAGCATTTCAGACAACTGGCTAGATAGCACATTTTTCAGTCAGTTGGCAGGTACATAAGCCATGTAGCTCTTTCTGCCTTTCTTAGTTTCGACAGGACGTAATGTGATCGGTGGTTGGACACTCAGTCAGTCAATCTCTGTCTGCCTATCTCTCTGTCCGTCAGTCAGTCAGTCAGTCAGTCCTTCAGTCAGTCAGTCAGTCAGTCCTTCAGTCAGTCCTTCAGTCAGTCCTTCAGTCAGTCCTTCAGTCAGTCCTTCAGTCAGTCCTTCAGTCAGTCCTTCAGTCAGTCCTTCAGTCAGTCCTTCAGTCAGTCCTTCAGTCAGTCCTTCAGTCAGTCCTTCAGTCAGTCCTTCAGTCAGTCCTTCAGTCAGTCCTTCGGTCACTCGGTCACTCCGTCACTCGGTCACTCGGTCACTCGGTCACTCGGTCACTCAGTCACTCACTCATCACTCAGTCACTCACTCATCACTCAGTCACTCACTCATCACTCAGTCACTCAGTCACTCAGTCAGTCACTCAGTCAGTCACTCAGTCACTCAGTACAGTCGTTTTTGCCGTCTGTCCGTCTGTCAGTCAGTCATTTAGTCCGCAAGTCCGTCCATCAGTCATTTAGTCAGTGAATGGTTTGTTTTAGGGCGGTGACACAGTCAGCTAGCCACTCAGCTCAATCTTCTGTTGACCACAAATGTCCCTTCAAATCTTTCAGGTCTTACAATTCATCCAACCTTATGGAGGACTTGAAGTATCTTTACAGAGTGGCGGGAATGCAAGGTCAAGGAATAACATTCATCTTCACTGACCAAGAGATCAAGGAAGAAGGCTTCCTCGAATATCTCAACAACTTACTTTCCTCCGGGGAGATCTCAAATCTATTTGCTCGAGACGAAATCGATGAAATCTGCGGCGAGCTGATTCCTGTGATGAAAAAGGAGTTCCCCAGGCGACCACCCACGGGGGAAAATCTGTACGACTACTTCTTGACGCGGGCGAAACATAATCTTCACGTCGTACTTTGCTTCTCGCCGGTGCGTTTTTACTTTTGTTCGAATAATCAGTAACTAATTTCTTGCTTTTGACAGTTGATGCGTGATTTCTTTTTCCACGTTTTTCTTTTCTGCAGGTCGGTGAGAAATTCCGCAACAGGTCTCTAAAGTTTCCAGGTCTAATCAGCGGTTGCACAATGGACTGGTTCAGCCGCTGGCCCAAGGATGCTTTGATTGCGGTAGCAGATCATTTTCTATCTAACTTTGAAATCGTATGCGAGGCTGAAGTTAAAAAACAAGTCGTTCACGCCATGGGAATATTTCATGATGGTGTAGCCATTAGCTGTACTGATTATTTCCAAAGGTAAGCGTTCCTTCTACTAAACAGTATGTTCTATATAATGTACTTGACTTTCGTTTCATTTGTGTGTTAAATCGGGTTTCCTACCAAGTTGGTTAAGTTTGGTCGAATGCTTACATGTTAGAGTAGGTTAGAATGTCGTCTGTTGAATTATTTTGTGCGTCTCCTACGTTTTTAGACGCACAATCCTTTTAAATTCGTCTGAGGTGTAAATTCATTTTATTTTCCGAATCGTATTTTACGTCCTCCAAGTTACGCACGGCTGATTTGGTCATTTCCTGTTGTTGTTTTGCGGAGGACGGCTGAGAAATGTACAAAAACAAAAAAAAAAAAAAAAAAAAACCTGCAATGCCATTGTACTGCGCATTTAAACCTTTTTTAGCGACGTTCTCGTTTTTCACTGACTAGCTGTTTTTTTTTTGTCAGAAACAACTTATTTTGAATTCTTGTTTATAGATACCGTCGAGCGACACACGTTACTCCAAAGTCATATCTCTCCTTTATCAACGGCTACAAGTCAATATACAGCGAGAAACGAGAACAAATTGGAGAACTGGCGAGGAGAATGAACACTGGATTAGCCAAGCTCATGGAGGCCAGTGAATCAGTCGCCCAGCTGTCCAAAGAATTAGCGGTGAAAGAAAAAGAGCTCGCCGTGGCATCTGAGAAGGCGGACCTGGTAAGGATGTGCCTGCAAGTTCGGCTGTTTCTTTTTTTATGTTTGATGTAAGATGAGATAACTATATAGGTCTTGAAACTGAAGCACTTGAATCGTGTGTTTGCCATCCAATGTCCTCGAGGAATGCTGAAAACCAACGTGTGAAAACATTGCATCTAGTCTACGCGACTCTATTGCGATATTGTGCAGATGCTGCTTTCCATTTGTTGATGTTATTGATTCCGTCCGCTAGGTATTGAAAGAGGTTACAGTAAAGGCACAAGCGGCAGAGAAAGTCAAAGCTCAGGTGCAGAAAGTCAAAGACAAAGCGCAAGCTATTGTGGATGATATCGCGGTAAGCCGAGAGCTCATTGACAATTCGACGCATGCTATGTGAATGGACTCTATCTGTTTTATATGCTCTTCCTTACCAGTAGAGCTCATGTCCCACTCTACTCTAATTTTGTTTTCAGGCTGACAAAGCTGTGGCTGAAGAAAAGTTAGAAGCCGCAAGACCAGCTCTTGAAGAAGCAGAAGCCGCCTTACAGGTTAAAAACATATTTATTGTGCAGAGTTGGGGTAACGTTTGGAGAGGGGCAGATAGAAGGGATTCACGGTCACAATCACGCGCTAACTACAGTGTAATTCTGATATAACAGTGCTGAAAATTCTTTCCCTGCTTCTGTCTCACATAAGATGTGTATCTGATATCCGTGTTTGTTGATGTTCTTTCAAATGAGTCTTTATTTGTGTTATTTTTTGTTATCAACCGAAGGAAAAGATAATGTTTTTAAACTTTGAAAAATGCTAAGCGCTTGGGGTTCGAGAAGAGAAAGATGAAGACTTTATCAGAAGCTCCATCCCTTTAGTTCTTCTCTCGTCCTTGGTGTTCCCGGTGCCAGCTCGCTCGCGTGCTAATTGTCTCTTGTCTCTCGCCATATGTAAGGCCGTGTATCTTCTGTTACAATGTACGTTAGTTCAGCTGAAGCAGAGAGTCTTCTTCGACTTATAGTAAAACAGTGTCGTCAAAGTGAAATGCTAACCTGGTTATTTTTGTTCGTTACCAGACCATTAAGGCCTCCCATATCGCTACGGTCCGTAAGCTTCCCAAACCACCGCATCTGATCATGCGCATTATGGACTGTGTTTTGATCTTGTTTCGAAAGCGAGTGGACCCGGTGGTATTTGATGCGGAGAGAAACTGTGTCAAACCCTCTTGGAGTGAATCGCTTAAGGTATGAATCAGTGTTTTCTTTGCGGAATAAAATATTGCTATCTTGGGGGCTTGTACGCGTCCTGGAAAGATTTGTAATTTTATCCTAACACATGTTGCGAAATTTGTTCAGCCGAGGCGACAATGCGCTTTTAGGTTCTTCAAGACAAAAAAAATAATAGCATGCCTGTGACGTATTTTTCGTAATTTCTTATTGCGGCCTTACGCGCAACAGAGCGCGAAGAGGATAGATGAGGTGAGGTATTGCTTCTAAGCTGGTGTTGCTTTCAGTCCAAGAACCTTTAAGACCTCTTAAGAATGGCTGACTGTTAGGATCGAGAAACGCCGGTCAACGACCCATTTGGCAAATCGCTCATATTTTGCCCAAAGATACCCTTCGGTGACCTAATTCTAAAAATCATATTATAAGGTTCCAGCGAATTTTTATTTTTCAGAAATTCGCGAAAATTTGAAAGCGCGGTCAAAGTGCGGTTTTTNCATAATTAAACCTTCCTGTCGCTTCAGTTGTCGATGGCAAACTTCCTAACTGGAAACAGTTTTTTTCGCTTTTTCTTTCTAGAGTACGTTGGAGAGGACAAACGGGATAGTTACTTAATAGAGTTCGAGTGCATGTATTTTCATGACTGTTGTTTGTTTTTCTTCCAGACGATGAGCCAGTCCAACTTTTTGCTGTCGCTTCAAAGTTTTGCGAAGGACACCATCAATGACGAAATGGTTGAACTTCTCGCGCCTTATCTAGAAATGGAGGACTACAATATGGAAACCGCTAAAAGGGTTAGTACTGGTTGTATACTAGCCTAAGTAGCTAACCGCCGCCTGGTTAGCTCAGCTGGTAGAGCGTCAGTCTGCTGTGCGGGAGGTCGAGGGTTCGAGCCCCAGACCGGACCAACACTCAGGGTCTTAAAATAACTGAGAAGAATTTGCTGCCTTTGTAATTACATCTGGAAATGGTTAGACGTTCAAGTCTTCTCGGATAAGGACTATAAACCGCAAGACCCGTCTCCTGCATCTTCAGTGTTACATGGTTAGCAGGGGACGTTACAGAACCCACACACTTACCGCAAAGAGTAGTGCACGTAGTTCCCGGTGCTGCGGTCTGGCCTTGTCTCACGGGTTGGTGCCTCACATAGGGTTAACCTCATTGCCCCTTTCCCCCTTGAACAGAATTGCTATGACTATGACTATGTACCCTTAAACAGCCGGTAAGCAATTCAGCTATTTACCCGGTTTACTTCCCTGTCCACCAAATTTTTGTGAGCCCAAGTTCTGATGTAACAACTTTCTAAGCCGGATCATGACAACATGGCGGGCTGATTAATATTGCTTTGTAACCTTTCGGTGGGCCCAGTTCTCGTTCTTCTCCTACACGATTCCCCTCCTACCGAAAAAGTAGCAATATATTTTTGTAACATACGGCTGTTTCTGTGAGAAACACTTTTCGGGTCTGCTAATTACTCACGCTGGATAATTAAGCCAATTAATGTGTTTTGTTTGGAATGTTCCGTCAACAGGTTTGCGGAGATGTCGCTGGTTTGTGCTCGTGGACGAATGCGATGTCTGTGTTCTTTGGTATTAACAAAGAAGTCTTGCCATTAAAGGTAAGTTGCAATGCAACGTCAACACATGAACGCTAAAGGAGGAGAGTGAAAGTAAAAAAGCCAAAGTAAAGCAAAAAGACTGGTGAATATATTAAATATATCAGAAAAATCTAAGCTTTGTAGAGTGATATTAGGCTCGTTTTGCTTATTGTCGCTATACTGGCCATGTGTTGGAGAATTGTTTCTGTCAAATATGATCACATTTGCTTGTTTTTGAAAGCATGGCTCTAAGATTGAGAAGAGAGCAGTTCTTCAAAGAACATCAGTGATCTGGAATGAGAAATATGTGAAGCTAAATAGACCATATTCGTGTTCTCGGTATTGGACTGGAACTAGCCTGCAATGGAGGCTCATGCGGAGGATATCATTAAAAAGAGATTAGAGTCATTTTCATTTGAAAAGACTCCCTGCATTAGCCTCAGTTGCAAGCTAGTCCCAGTCCGATACCGGGAATACTAATATGGTCTATTGTTTTGACTTATTTTTTTCAGTCTAGTCGAGTCGCCGTTTTGAGCTTTATGATCGCAAACACTATCCAGAATTTGAATAGGCAGTTTTTGTCGTCGTATATCTCGTGTAGAACCTTCATTAACTTTATTTACAGTGACTGTCATGTTCTATGCTCGTGGTATTAAGTTTGTTCTCAGGTCATGTGGTAACCTATTATTTAGAGCTGTCGGCTCGGTGGGTTACGAAAATCATCAATGATTTATTGCCTTGAATGAAAGTTAGCTAATCGTTGCCTAACGTTGTCTCGTAGGCCAACTTGACTATTCAAGAGGCTAAGCTGAACGTAGCTCAGAACGACCTGAACGCGGCCCAGGCACAGCTAGACGCTAAACAGGCTGAACTTGATAAAGTACAGGCTTTGTACGATAAGGCAGTGCAAGAAAAACAGGTAAATCGTGCTGAAGTTTGAAACGTTGTTTCAAACTTCACAAATCTCGTTATTGTGGCAAAGTTGACGATTTTCGACAGCGTAACTCGGCAATAACGACCTAGGACGTCTAGTTGCAAAAACATATTAACTGGACGCTTTCACTAAAACAGGGAACCCAGGTGCTACAAATTCACACTTGGACCCAACGTAAAGTTGAAATTTGTTAATCCCGGTTGTCAGAAGGAACCGTGAAATGCATTCCAAAGGTGCTATATCTTGCATTTAAGATTAATTTAACCTCTTTGGCAACAATTCATACACTTAGATGATACACCGTTTTAACTGTTACTGGAAAAGAAGCCTGGGCTGGTGTTGGGAAAGCTATTTTCTCCAGTTGTAGAAAAATTACTTTTTAAGTAATTTTAAGTTTAAGTTACGTTATCTATAGTTGAAACGGAGATCGATGATAGTGGACAAAATGTTTGAAATTAAGTTCAAGAAAAGTTCTAAAGAACTGGACCACTGTTTGGTAGACAACAACATGTAGATTCTCTTTTCATTGTGCATGGATTTCGTATGGTAGTGGGTAGGAAAAATTTACTTTTTATAAAAATACATGTCTAGCAGGAGAAATTACCGTCAGATCAGTGTAATGGTGCAAGTATTAACTGGTTTATATGGATAATAAACAGGATCTTCTGGATGACGCGGAGACATGTCGCAGAAAGATGTTGGCAGCTTCCACTCTGATTGGCGGCTTAGGAGGAGAGAAAGAAAGATGGACGGAACAAAGTAAAGAGTTTGAAGCTCAAATTGGAAGGTATAACGCAAGCAGTATTCTATTTAGAGAAATCGTTAAACTTTTTCGTGTCATGGATCGATGTCGTTCCTTATTGCAGGTGCTTTCTTGTAAAAAATATTTGTGATTTTTTCGTCCAAACTGCAAAATCTTTTTGTAATTGGCAGTGTGGGTAACATTACATGAAACATATCGCTAAACTCAAACTTATTTCGTTAAAGTTATTTTGTGAACCTGGGTTTCTGCGTCTTTATCTTAGTTGTCTTTTCTTTCTCAAACGCAGTTTAGGTTTTAAATGATGTGTATGTGTTGAAGGTTATAAAATCAAAGGTGTAATGGTTAATCGTAATAATCGCATGGACATTTTTCTGTTTGCTCACTATCCTGTCCCAAAAACGAGCAAGAACAAGAACAAGAACCAGCAATACCTTATAACTGTGATTAGGAAAAGGTAACTATGTAACTTTGTTTCTATTATAGACTGGTCGGTGACGTGTTGCTCTGCACAGGATTTTTGTCTTACTCTGGTCCCTTCAACCAAGAGTTCCGTGACATGTTGATGGGAAAATGGCAGAAGGACATGAAGTCACGCAAGATCCCCTTTACCCCCAACCTGAATGTCACGGGCATGCTCGTTGATGCGGCAACGGTAAGCAGTGACTGTTTCGAGACCAGCCACCAAATGCGCCTTTAAATTGTGACAAACAGTTGTGCCCTAGGAGATATAGTCACTAGAAAGGGTAAGTTTTGGGATTCTTCCTGTGACAGTTCCTGTTTTATGATTCTAGGTCGGTGAATGGAACCTTCAAGGTTTACCAAACGATGAACTGTCTGTCCAAAACGGCATTATCGTTACCAAGGCAACGCGCTTCCCTTTGTTGATAGATCCACAAGGCCAAGGAAAGGCCTGGATTAAGAACCGAGAAAAAGAGAGTCAAATGCAGGTGGGTAGGTCAAGCATGGTTTAAGAACTCTGTGAACTTTACTCGATCTTAGAAAACCCTTGCGATCAAGAAGTTGAGAAATGAGTATGGAAAAGTAAAAGTATGGAAGCTTTAAAGCTGAAATTTTCAAGGTAGATTTTGTTTGCTATAAAATCGTGAAAACTTCTCTTCGAGGAATTCAGATCATTTAAGCAGTTTATTGCGAATTGAGATGCAAATCACACGTCGGTTTCTTTGTTTGTCGATGGGTTTCTGAACCAACAGACATATGAGAAACCCCACTGAACCAGCAGCAAAATCCAATGCAAGAATAACAGTGTTATTACAGTTCTTCAAAAGACCTTTGATAGTAATCTTCATTTTAATTTCAATTCCTATATTACGTGCACAGATGGCTTTTTATCTCGTGCTTTCATTTAAGTTCAGTTTTCTGTTCCTCTTCAACAGTCCAGTTTATTTTGTTTTTGTTTCAATATAAGACCAAGGCCTGCCAGTTTCTCGAAAAATGACGTGTTGCGTAAATGATTCAAAACATTTATCTACAGATAACGTCATTAAATCACAAGTACTTCCGAAACCATCTGGAAGACTGCCTCTCGTTGGGTAGACCGCTGCTCATCGAGGACGTGGCCGAAGAATTGGACCCAGCTCTCGATAACGTGCTGGAGAAGAACTTCATCAAAACTGGAAGCACCCTGAAAGTGAAAGTGGGAGACAAGGAGATTGATGTTATGAAGGGCTTCATGTTATACATCACGACGAAGCTCTCAAATCCCGCGTACACTCCAGAGGTGAGTGACAGCTGTCCGTCATGTGTAAAGTCATACACTTCTGTGTTTTTGTGTGTGGTAATGAAACGTTTTTGTTGTTGTTGTTGTTGTTGTTGTTTTTGTGTTGTATCTTTTTAATGGGTACAAAATAGCTACTCCACGACATAAGAATATGTAGTATCTTAAAGATATTCAGTATCAAATTACAATGTTGTGGTGTCACCTGACTACTACCTGATTTGTTTGTGTTATAAACAGATTAGTGCCCGTACTTCTATAATCGACTTCACGGTGACAATGAAAGGCTTGGAAGATCAGCTCCTTGGTCGTGTGATCTTGACTGAGAAAGCGGTGAGTTATCTTATCGTCATTTTCTTCTGACTTATGACATCAAGAAAGCTAAACGTCAAGCCTGCCTTCTGTTACGTGGATGCCAACTAAGAAATTTGGATTTCCCAAAGCGAATCTTTCCATATATAACTCAGAACGTGAAATGGATCTAGGTCAACTGGAATAAGAATCGATTTTTTTTTTTCCTTCATATTTGTTTTAGGAGCTGGAGGCTGAGCGAACGAAGCTCATGGAAGATGTAGCTTCCAACAAAAGAAAGATGAAAGAACTAGAAGATAATTTGCTGTTCAGGCTTACGAGCACTCAGGTATGGAACTTCTCATATTATACGATTAGTTTACGGTTTCGGCGTTATGTGCCACCTAGCATGAAGAAGATTAAGTTAGTAAGTTAACGGTTTCCTACCTTTTCCAGTAATTATTTCAAGTTTTAAGTCGTCGAAATGTCTTGTATGGGTAACTACTGTCACTTTAATTTTCGTTATTTCTTGTTTGCCAGTTGCATTTCACTTGGTTCAATATTTCTACGAATTTCCCGTGGCGTCTTGCTAATACAGCTCCTCTACTGACCGTCAAATTCTTCACGGTCTTTTCTGTCAAATCATCAAAGTATATTTGTTGCCTAGCAACACCCTTTAGATAACTGCAGGCTCAACCTATTATTGGAGACCGATTCCTGCCAAAAACTTTATTTGTCCTTGATTTAACTCTGTTTAACAAGTTGGTGCAATGTTATTTCAGGGGTCTCTTGTGGACGATGAATCACTAATTGAGGTGCTGAGCACCACTAAGGCGACAGCCGAGGAAGTCAGTCAGAAACTTGTTGTAGCCGCTGACACGGAAATCAAGATCAACGGCGCAAGGGAAGAATTTCGACCGGGTAAGAAAATTGCACCCACCCTGATGGGCTCGTATGCAGACCTTACCATAACTTTACCACCCGCTCTTAGAAGAAAATACATATCCTTTGTTTATGTTTATTGTTGTCGTTGTTATTTTTCAGTGGCCACCCGTGGCAGTATCTTGTATTTCTTGATCGTTGAAATGAGCATGGTGAACTGTATGTACCAGACCTCTCTCAAACAGTTCCTGGGATTGTTCGACAACGCTATGGCAAGGTGAGGGTCTGGCACGAGGAATGTTTGATATATTTAACCACTGGTCAAAACGCTTCAAGTCTTTCAATTAATGCTGAATTTTAGCTTTATCGGGGTCTCCAGACTCGCTGAAGTTTTAGTGTCAAATTTGAATTCCGGGGAGCGTCAAAATCAAATTTCTCCTTACGATATTAGTGCATTGTCAAGCAGAGGGTGACGAGAATCAAGAAATCATCAATTTGAGGGTATTGTTACCACTAAATCCTCAGAACTAACTCCACAGTGAGAGTATGAGAGTATGACAATCATAAAGGTATGGCAGAGAGACGGAGAAAGACAAATACTGGAATATTCACTTGACTTTTAGTTATGCGCGTACAAAAACTCACAAATGTTTTCATTTGTTTTTCCAAGGTCGCAACCATCTCCGATCACTTCCAAGAGGATACACAATATTATAGATTACTTGACGTACGAAGTATGGAGGTACTCGTGCCGAGGCCTGTATGAGAATCATAAGTTTCTGTTCACGCTTCTACTCGCTCTCAAGATCGATCTGCAGAATAAGAAGGTAAGTACTGTCCGTCGCCTGAGACTTGTGCGGAAACATTTCAGCTGGTGACGCAGCCTTAAAGAAACCCAAGTGTAGTTGTTAGCCATTAAGAGACACTAGATGGATCTGGGTAGTAATTTGTCAGTATTGTTCAGCTCGATTCTTAGATCACTGTTCTGGAGATGAAGGGAGTGAATCATCTAAAGAGATATCTCTCCGGATTAACGTGACCACGTGAGGCTTGCGTTCTGCAAGTCAACAAGCTGAGCGATAATCAGCTATGAGGTTCCGAATCTTATAGCAAACAAGAGCAATATACTATGAATGAAAGAAATCTTTTGAGTATCTCAAAATAATCGCTTACTTATAGTTCAAAGTGAAGTTAAAGCTATAGTTTAAAGAAGCGAATGGTTTAACAAAAGGCTGCAATTGTAATGTTATGACCTGTTCCAGGTGAAACACAGTGAGTTCATGACACTCATCAAAGGAGGAGCTTCCCTGGACCTGAAAGCTGTACAGCCAAAGCCATGCAGATGGATAACTGACATCACGTGGCTGAACCTTGTGGAGCTCAGTAAACTGCCGCAGTTCTCAGACGTGCTTAATCAGGTGGGTATCCTGTAACGCTCATATGAGATTGCGTTACCCAAAGTTCTGGTAACGTTCTGTGATGGTAGTCCAGTAAAATCATCAAAGACATTAGTGTTAAAGTTTCAACATGAACCCACGTTTGGAAAACAACTATTTTAGTCTGAGACCTTTTCTAAACTTACACAAAATATGGTGAAGCCACGGTGTGTCATGAAAACCAAACTCTTGCGTGACAAGTTATTTTTTAGCCTTTCGCCCGTCAAACTGTTGTCTGCATTAGTTCTTGTTTTATTTCCAATAGTTAATTTTTTCAAAGCTGTAATGATACGTTTCTTTATCGCTGTTCGAAATTTGACTTTTTTAGATCGCACGTAACGAGAAACAGTGGAAAAACTGGTTTGACAAGGACGCCCCTGAGGAAGCGGACATTCCTGATGGATATGCAAACTCGTTGGACACGTTTAGGAAACTCCTGCTAATCAGGTTAGGTTTCTTTATTTATTGACCCCACTCTGGGAGGGTGGAGAATGTGTTTTACGATGATCATTGGTCGTTATAGGCGGGCAAAATGTTTTTACTTTGTATTAGACAAAAGGAGTGTTGCATAATGCAAAGGGTTAAGTTTCTCTTATTGTTGTGAAAAGCAGAAAGGATTTCTACTTTCTGCAACGATTTGCAATGAGAGAAACCCTGAGACCGTTTAATATTTTATTCGTCATTGCCAGGTCTTGGTGTCCAGACCGGACCATGGCGCAGGCACGAAAATATATCGCCGAATCCATGGGGCCTAACTACGCCGAGAACGTGATCCTCGATTTGGAGAAGACCTGGGAAGAGAGCGATAACAAAACACCGCTGATCAACTTCCTGTCCATGGGCTCAGATCCTACAAGCCTCATTGAAAACCTCGCTAAAAGGCACAAGTTTGGTAAGAATGAAATAAAGTTACCATCTTTTTTTTAACTAGAAATCTTATGTTAATCAGGAAAACAAAGGCCAAAAATTATTGTTTAGCCTTCCCAATTGAAGATGTTGTCTATCATTTAAGTACTTCGAATGACCTTACTCTAGGAACAGCAGATTTCGGGTGAAAGAATATAACCATTATCGCCACACTCTCTTAAGCAAATAAGTTCAGAAAGTTGCCTATTTATCAAGAAATAATATCATGAATGATCCTGCTGGTGATGTATCTGTCTTGCTTTGCAAATCGCTTTCACTTGTCTTGATCTGTCTATATTTGATTGCAGATTGCCGTGCTATTTCCATGGGTCAAGGTCAAGAAATTCATGCTAGAAAACTCGTTGGACAATTCATGCAAACAGTGAGTACATTTGATGCATTGTATTTCCCTTTATATAATTACAATGCTTGTGTTTTAGGTGAGATCTTTTGTGGTGGTGGTTGTATTTGTTTGTTTGTTTTGTTGTTGTTGAAGTAGTTTCTCCTGGTTTTCTGGTCTTTTCATTGTGTTGATATCTTATTCCCCTCATCTGTTATTTCTGTTTCCTATTCCCCTAGGCTGTAAACTACTACGTCTCCTAATGTTGTACATGTATTAGCTGTATGGTGTTGATTTGTAATCAAATTCGCCCAAATGGTAAACGAAGAAATGTATGGCAACGTGTAAGGAGAATCTGTATATTGAGACATCTCGTTTGTGATTTCAGGGCGGATGGGCGCTCCTTCAGAACTGTCACCTTGGTTTGGAGTTTATGGATGAGCTGATGGACACGGTGGTGGATACTGAACAAGTTCATGACTCCTTCAGATTGTGGATGACTACAGAAGAACATATCCATTTTCCTATCGGCCTCTTACAGGTTTGAACAACTCAAAATGCTCTGGAAAATCGTCTGGTGCTTTCGTTTACATGTTTAGGTCTGTGCAAATTGGGTACCTCTGAAAAATACATTGCATTCTTTTTGCGTGACATGCCTTATCTCTTGCTTGTTGCGTCTTGTTTCTCGAGCGATTTATTTTGTTTCACTAGAATCGCGTCACGTTTCTTAAGAATTCCGTATCGTTTTCCGGAATTGGAAACGTGAATGGAAAATGCGAAACATTAAATTTATCCAAATTACCGGAGTTGAAATTTCTTTGATAGTTCGTTTGTGTTTTAAGAATGTTTAGTTAGTTTAGAACTGAACTCTGTTTGACGTTCTCTTGGTTAAATTTTATTTGACAGATGTCAATCAAATTCACGAATGAACCTCCCCAGGGACTTAGAGCTGGACTCAAACGAACCTACAATGGTAAGTTGGAAAGGATTCAATCCCAGACTTTTCGGCGCGCTGTCTTTATGTTATTTTAATATCTCTTTATTTGTGTTGTTGTCTCCAGGAATCAATCAAGATCAACTGGACATCAGCAACCTCCCTCAGTGGAAACCCATGCTATACGCGGTTGCTTTTCTCCATTCTACCGTTCAGGTGAGGAGGAGATTTCAGGTTAATCATATATTAAGTCATAGACTGTGCGTAAAACAGACTCCTGACTCCATTTTCCTTTCAATTGCTCTTGAAACTGATTTAATGAAGCATTGTTACAAGAGCTCTTTTTGACAAAATTCTGTCTCTCTGTCTTTCTTTGGCCACAGGAGCGTCGAAAGTATGGTCCGTTAGGTTGGAATATTCCTTACGAGTTCAACCAAGCGGACTTTACAGCCAGCGTGCAGTTTGTTCAAAATCATCTGGATGACATGGATATCAAAAAGGGCGTGTCCTGGAATACCGTGCGCTATATGTTAGGAGAGGTGCAGTATGGAGGACGAGTCACAGATGACTTTGATAAACGACTGCTCAACACGTTTGCCAAGGTTAATATTTCATGACTCTTATACGTAACGCTAAAGCTGTTTTAATAGGATGTGTTTCTTTCAGATAATCCAAGGCTGATTATTGTTGTTTTTGATGTTGTTCTTGTTGTTGTTGCAACTAAAATCTACACGAACCGCAATGAAAATGGGCTCAGCTGTTGCAATTCGCCTGAAAAGACAGCACCTTGTTGGGAATTCAACTAAAATGAAAAGAGCTCCTACTTTTGCGATTCACTTTGATAGGTCAGTGCGAAATGCTTATCGATTGTTGTCTGTTTAAGCTAGTCCCCGACAATTGTCACAGAAAATGGTCATGGTACAAAGCGGATGACAGAGTGTGATGAATTTAGTGAAGTTAACGTTGCAGACTTTCAGTTACTACGATAACGTCTCTTTAAGTTATCGTTAAGTTATCTCTTTAAGTTGTCTAAATTGTCGCCCTAATTTCGTCGTGCCGTTTTCATTTCACACATCTAGTATGTGCTTTGATCATTTTATGACTGGCAAAGTCACATGATAGAACTCTGCAAAGAGCCTATTTTGCCACCTCTCACAAACTGTCGTTATTTTCGTTTCTGTTGCTATCATTGATCGATTACACGTTGCTACCGATCTTTGCAGGTGTGGTTTAGCGAGTCGATGTTCCAACAGAGCTTCAATTTCTACAAAGGTTACACTATACCAAAGTGTACTTCAGTTCAACAGTATATGGATTATATTGACACGCTTCCTCTTGTGGACTCCCCTGAGGTGTTTGGTCTACATCCTAATGCAGACATCACGTGAGTAGTGTTCTCAAGAACTTATTCTCCGTATGAGTTCTTGTAGGGAAGTAGGGAGAAAATTAGGTTTGATCAGGTATTTCATGTGGCTTTATTTATCGTTAACTCTCAATTTTTTGGATCTTGTAGTTATTACGGCAATTGAAGTTATACTTTCGTTCAATCCACCCATACATGTGTCCTTGAAAACATTGTTTTATTCTTAGTCTTGGCGGAAACTTCACTGCCTTCAGTTAGTTCGAGGGGCAGTGTTGTCAACACTTGCACTATGCTCAAAAGATTAAGATAAAATCAGTGCTTCTCTCAACTCATTGTTCACGATATCAGTTTGCGGGCGGTAAGTACTATAATTATTAACTTAGTCGTTTCTGCTCTCAGTTACCAGAGTAACCTGGCCAAGTCTTGCCTGGACACCATTTTGAGCATTCAGCCAAAGGACAGCTCGGGTGGTAGCGGGGAAACCCGCGAGGCTGTTGTCCAGCGGTTGGCTGATGACATGCTTGATAAGCTTCCTGAGAACTACATTGCGCATGAGGTAAGCTGAAGGACCGCTGTTCGAGTAAGTTAATTGTTTCCGTGCATTTAGGAAACGTTAGCGCACTTAATGTAGAATTGCTGCTAGAAAAGTGTATCTATACATGTACATCTGTTTTCAGTGACGCTGGAAGAAAGTAAGAAACAAACAAACGAACAAACAGAAAAGCAGGAGGCGCTTTCTTTTTCGCTTTTCATTCAAAGGATCACAGACACTTTTTTGGCCGTTTTGTTATAACTTCGACTTTGATGTCGATGGTAGTAGTATAAGCGCGTTATTTGCGAGTGGTGTCATGTCCGGAAGTAGCAAACGTTGTTATATTTACTACTGGTTTTACTAACTCAATGCCTTGCAGTGGAGTAAGTAACTATCGGTCGTTGTCTATTATACATATGCTCAGAAATTAAGCGGTCAATTTCTATGTCGAATTTGACTAGAGATTTCGAATATCCACTTTCTTGTGCACTGGTTTGTTCAGCTGTAACAGGTATGTGGCATGTGCGAGTCCCAATTCATTTTAGATGTTACAACGTTTTTCTTTCCGAATTAACCATTCCTATCCGTTGCTTTCAGGTTAAGGCCAGACTACAGAAAATGGGAGCTCTGTCTCCGATGAATATTTTCTTGCGGCAAGAGATCGACCGAATGCAGAGGGTGATAACCGCTGTCCGGCAAACACTGACGGATCTCAAACTTGCCATTGATGGCACCATCATAATGAGCGAGGTTAGCTAACTTCAGTCTGATACCCTTTACCCATCTAAGCTTAAAATCTCGTCACATAGTCTCATACGTAACTTTAAATGGAAGTTGTAAGACGATGGTATTACATCAAGACAAGCGGTAACAATGATGGATTTGATTATTTTCTCCAGAGGGAGGGGGCGGGTACTCTACAAAGTTCTATAAGGGCAGAGTCCGCCCCGCCGCCCCAAGGTCCAACTCCTTACCCTTTTGTATAAAAAGGTACCCCTCTCGTATAACGTTAGTTGGT